TTGCAAACCTTGCACACTATGAAGTTCATATCAAGCTCAGTCTTCCCTGGCATTCGGTAAAAACCAAAATGTATCCATATTTTTGCCTTCAGAGAAGACGGGACCGCTTGAATCTCTCTTTCCTCCATTTGTTTCTAAACTTTTCGCGCATGCGTATGTCCGAAAACCTGCTGCGTGAAGTCTCGCGATATTTTGTAATGACACGAGACTTCACCGCAGCTTCAGGGGAGACTTCAGCGGGTTTGTTTTATTTTTTTAGAATCGATTTTGGGAAATTTTAAATCGATCTTGAATCGTAGTAAATGAGAATCTAGATTCTTATGTGAATCGATTTTTTGGCACACCTCTAGTAGAAACAATATAAAGTTGGCCTATGGTTAGGGTTGGGTATTGAAAGGGTTTATTTCAAAACTGGTGCTAAATCGATACTTCCAAAATGGTACCGGTTCCTAAATGGTATTTAAATCGGTACTTTAAAAATAAATAAAACACACACTCACACAGAGGTTTATGAAGCAATGAATTTCTGAGTCAAAGTCAAACTTGAAATTGATCAACTTATTAACTTAAAATCATTAATAATTTGTCTTTGCACCAAATATTCTTAAAGCATTTGTTGTAGGTGGAAGTTTCTGCATCTTATTTGTAAAGTGACACCACACTTTGGACTGTTTTGCTTTCGACATCTCGACTATAATATATAACTTAACTGCAGCGGCACCTGTTCAGCCCCTCTACATGAACTCGGTTCTACTTGATTCCCTTTGGTTCGGGTCGGTTCTGCTCGGTGTCCGTGTGTCTCCACGCAGTGGGTGTGATAATGTGCGGACTGTCCACAGCGGCTTCAGCTGTTGTGTTAAAAGTAATGATTAAATTAAATTTAAAAAGCCATTGTTGTCTTACCGTTAGTACTTCACTTTTATTTACTTATTTATTTGTTTATTTATTTATTATCATGGTGCTGTTTAGCTAAGTGCTTGTGTAACCATGTGGTCAGTATGCTGAAAACCTCCTGTGATCTGCTCAGCTTCATCTCCTTCACCTCTCTCCAGGAAGTGTTTACAAGTTCTGCCTTTTTTTAAAAGGCAGTTTTATTTCACCATGTTGTCGTATCGCACCGCGCGCTCGTATTCCTAAACAAAAGCAGCTCTCTCCAGGAGGAAATTTGCTGTCAGTCAATCCAAGAGTTAATCCACGGGCAGAATTTTGCTGACATTAAAATCATAAGCGTGCTGCACTCGCTTCTACCCGCTTAGAACCACCGGAGAGGAGGTTCTGAGACAGCGTGGCTGTGGAGCGCGCTTGGAGAGGCGCATTGGGCCGAGACCGAGCCGAGTCGAACCACATACAATAAAGTCCATGGAGACAGTGCGCCGCGGCTGTCACTGTTAACAGTGAACACCAGAGGGGGCAATTTAACAGCTTTCTTTGAGGCACCGAAATAAAGCACTGAAGTTAAATATGTGTTTCGGTCTGCGTACTACTGTGGATGTTCGCCCCGGTGCCATAATAGAACTGAGTTTCGGTACTCAACCCTATGATAGAGATCTGTAGTCTACTGGCCAACAGCGGTAATTCTTTTTGATGACATAACTGGCTGGAGTCAAAACAGACGAAGCGGGAAGCAGCATGGCTGTGAGCACAAATGAAGAGCTAAAAGTTGCAAAACATAAATTATCTGGACCTGGTTCAGGTGTGCGAAAATGAACGCCGAACTATTTACATGACGGCGCATCGTCCAGTCAACTGCCGAGCGACCACACTGCCTGCAGCGGGAGGAGCACGGCACGTCATGGTCACACAGTGAGGTGACTGTCAGTGGAGGCGAAGTCAGTGCGAGCTCCAGTGGGAAGCACAAAAGCTCGCTGAGTCTAATGGACCTCGTTTCTCCTGCAGTCATAGCATGATGCTGTCAAGTCGTACAGCAGGGAAGCAGTGTGGGAAAGGATGACAGTCTGAATGTCTTTCAAAAAACAAACAAACTGTAAAGCATAAACGGGACGATTGTCACCCCGCCGGAGCGCACTCAGAGTAAATACGTGGAATGCAGAAAAAGTAATCTGCAAAGTGTGGAGAAAGAAATAAATACAAGCAATTTGTTTTACCACCTTAAAACAAAGCAGGTGATTCCAAA